CAAGGCTTTGAAAGTATTTAAATACAATCTTGAGGAACACAGTAGAACTACATTATTAGGAGCTTTTTGTACCAAAACACTTAAGTATATCTTACACAAAAGTATTTAGCATTCTTCTAAGGAAGTGGAGTCAAATTAATTATCTTTCTTTCCATCTATTTTTAATCGTTGTTTGGTAATTGTTTTAACATGTGACCCATCGAAACACTGAATAGAAATAAAGAGAAAGTGAGGCAATCTTCATTTACATTTGAATGCCAGGAGTCAGTAGAGAGCTCGTTGATCCAGTCGCACTTTCCATCTGCAAGCTGCAATGTATTCCTTTTGGAAAGTCAGTTACTGACACGAGGAAGGTGAAAAGTAAAAGCTCCGTTTGACCTGGATGTCTCAACAGTGAGTCTTAGTTCTCCACCCTCACGTACAATTACATCTCACCAGACTCTTTACAACCTTCTAAAACCTCTGTGTTTGCACGTCGTTGTGTTAAGAATGGACCATGTGTGGTCATTCATTCATTTTTCAGCACCAGCATCTTTTCCCAGTTTGCGCACTTTCATTCTGCATGGGAACATGTTCTTTAGTTTTAACGTGCAGCGTACTGGCAAAAAAAGCCGCTGTAAATGAATTCAGTAAAGTAAAGATATAATATTGCAATATTGCAGTGTCACTCATAACCTGAGCGCTAAACATTTTTTTGGGAATGCCATACTACCGTAATAGTTGACTGTCTGACTAGAGAACCAAAATATAATCAATCATTTTTAATATTACGCAATGTTCAGTTTCAAAGTATTTCCATTTTCATTTATGCAATACTAATACAAGAGACTCAGTCTCTTGACAAACTGTCTTTACAAATGATTGCACTTTTAAGATGAAGTACATTACTCATTAGGATGTTTTTTGCTGCTGCTAAGGCCAGTTTTAGAATAGTAACAACGTAGGAAACCAGAAACACAAAGAAGTGGACGTAGACCATCCATCATAACAAATACGTTAGTGGACTTTCGTTTTTAAGACCTGACTTCTGCGTTTTAGTCATCAACGTTTATTTTGGAGACAGGAGCGACCATATGTGGGCGAGAAGGTGGTGCTGTGAAGAGATCAAACCCACTTTTCCGTCCCGATTGACAGGTTGCCATGGGGCCGACTTGTCAATCACAAGGTAACCGTTCCCTGGACGCGTAACCTTCTTTCTTGGAACTAGTGACAGACCACAACCTTATTAGGAAAATGTTGACCGAGGTAAAACGTTACGTAAGAAGTACTTAACAGCCGAGTTCCCCCCCCGGCTATTAGAAATGATGCAGACTTAAGGCACTTCTTGGCTTCACTTCTCAGATCCGGCCTCATTCACTTGTTATATTCAGCGCTGTCTGTGACCTGAGGCGGAATGCCCTCTGTAGAAAAGGGTGTCTCTGTCATTCTGTAATGTCCCCGTCTCCTTTTCCTGCCCTTGCCTCTGGGTTCAGTATGCAGGAGGCTAAAGAGAATTTAAGTTCATCTCAACTGTCGGGCGATGCTGGCTCTGTTTGTGCGTGTGTGTATCTGAGCGTATCTTTCTGAGATTTTTTTTCTTTCTTCAGGTTTGTGTCTGTGTTTCCATTAGTCTTGTGTCTCACGGCTGTCCTTGGGAAGTTAGATGAAGCTCTCCATCAGTCTTGGAACTGGGACCGAGAGGAGAGAAAAGGGTCAGAGATAGAGGTGAGATGAGGGGCGGAAGGACGAGGTCCTCATTCAACTGTACTGTGAGTCGTGCGCAAATCTTCTCCTCTCTTGTTATAATATATTATTACATTACATTAAATTAATATATTGCGTTGACAGAGATGTTTTAATAATATTTAATGAATTAGGCCTATTTTCTGCAAAAAACATATTTTGGGGTTTTGCACTGTTGGTCGGCTGAAACAAACGTCATCACAGCCTCTGGTATATAGGGACGTACTCTGTACTATTTCTAATCTCTCTTGTCACAGAATGAATATACATATGAACATTTATGGACTGGACACACACATTTGGCCACAATGTACAGGCAGTTTGTCAAAGGGCAATGCTGAAATCAATAAGTTAGATCGATTAACTAGCTGTAACTGTCACTAATAGTCATGCGACCACTTACTGTCACGTATATATTTAGTTGCTCTTGAAAAAGCAAGAGGATTGATGCATTTCTCACCACAATCTAGTTTAGTATAACTGCTCTTTTGTAGATGGAGTTGAAAATTTTTACATATATATATTTACAATATATACAATATCAACTCTTTTGAGCTTTCATAAATTGCAGATACCTTTTATCAATGTAAAATGTGTGGGTCAGAAGAGTTAAAATCCACATGAATCAAAAATGATCTAACGTGGAACACTGAAGCTTGCTTGTTGCACATCGGATGAAACCGTCCTCCGACTCTTTGCACACAGATGTAGAATTGGCTACAATGTCTGAGATCATTGGTTGAAGGAGCAGCCGGCGAGGGATGTAGTAGATAAGAGGGAGTGTGCGCGATGGTGACCTCATAGAGAAAGGTTAGAGACCTTTGGGAGTCTTCTTGTTGACCGCGTGTGTGTGTGCATGTGCATGCCTGCACAAAGTCACTGATTGTATGATTTTATTTTATTACAGCCCTCAGGAGATGGTCCAAGGCTTCCGCAATTAATAAGGCTAATGGTTAGTGGCTGGTGGCCTGTGACTGGGATATGAGGTAAACATGGTACTTTATGGGTTAACAGATCCCTTCTGGAAGGAAATGGAGTTTTTATTGTAAGACATAATTTATAGAGAAGGACAGAGAAGAGGATGAGGAGCCTTACACTAATGTGTCCAGTAGGCTTCTTTCATGTGATTCAATTCAATTCAATAAACTTAGCTTTCACAGGTGTGCCCGCAGCATCTACTTAAATAGGTTGCAGTACCTGCAGTATTTTGGCTGTGGAGAAGCCGACTGACTTGACTAAGACAAGTGCTACGGTTTAAGAGGTGAGGTATGACGCCTTTTTTTTTTTACCGTGAAGGCCGTACAACGGATCTGAATTCCCGTGACATGGATTTTTTTAAATTAAAACCTAGAATTGCATTGACAAGGACAAAGTAACCAAGTTATGTCAAAAGGAAATCCAGATGAGGTGAATTGTGTGATGCGTTGGGATTCATGACATGTGAGTGGAGCAGGATGGATGTTTTTTATGGGTGGTCTTGGCTTAGCAAGGACAGGTAACCCCACTCTGGCTGCCTGTGATGTTATTGTCCTCTCATGCACTTTCTTCAAGGTTTTGGTGCACTGCAGCCCTGAGTTCTCTCAGACGGGCTGCATTGATATTCAGGGCCTGTTTCTGATCCCCATCACTGCTCTCTCTCTCTCTCTCTCTCTCCCTCTTTCTGTATAGCTCCCTCCTTCAGAAAATCTCTCAGTTTTCCTTCCTCATCTAAGATTAATGATCCCAATAGATGTTCTTTAATGCCTGTATTTTCCACACCCAACCATATGCTTCTTCACAAAACAATATGTTATATGAACTTAGCACAAAGTCTGCCTTTTGTACACACTAATATAAATATGCACAATATTTCTATAGCAACGCAAATATATTGCTTCCAAGAATAATCTGCCCCTTTTGACGGTGCAACTTTCTTTTTTTAATTTTTATTGCTGGATAAAGAAATGATCGCAGACTCCTTTAGAAGACCAATTTACCTGCACGTTATACATATCGTATTTACTTGAGTTTAAAGGGATCCTGGTAAAACTTCTAGGGCGAGACATGGTGTCTCAGTTAAATCCTTGTTAAAATGGGTTGTTTAGAGTCGCTGAGGTCAATAAGCAAGCAAGTCTCCGAGCTTGACATTAACCATGACAGAATCTGATCTGTTGAACAGCAGCGCAGCAGCTCCCCTGTACGACTTCTGTAATACCGTATGCCAGCGCATGCTAGATGTGCACCGCTCAGCTCCCTTTAACCTGTATTTAATCTAGCGGGGAAATCCCAAAGTGTATTGGGAAATGCTGCTAGTGATGCTGATGCACTCCAACATTCTGATACGTGCATAATACACGTGAGACACAACGGGGGGGTAGAGAGAGTGTTACACAGAGAGAGAGAGAGAGGGGAACCGACCAAACAGAGAGAAGTACAGAAGAAAAATAGGGAGAGGGGTGGGGGGGTAGACAGGACGAGATGTGGGATAGTAAAGTGACGGCAGCATGACACAAGGCTGTTATCCTCTCCTGCCGAGGGGCTGCAGAGCAGGTGTGTTTGTGGACACGAGTTTGGATGAGCGAGACGCGTACACGGGATACGCAGAAGCATTTGTGGTACATGGGTGCCAATCTGCAGAACACAAGAATGAACCTGTCCTTGAAAGTTACCCCCCCTCCCACACACACACACACACACACACACACACACACACACACACACACCTCCTTTTCACATATAGGCTCACCCCTTCTTCACCTCATCATCTTTCACCCTTGTTTCTGCCTTTAATGACTGCCCAGTTTTCTCTTTTTAATCTTGCCGTTTGGGACCTCTCTTTCTGTCCCTCCATCTCTTGTTGCTTCAACCTTTTTTGCTCCAGTACTTATATTCTTGAACTATTCTTTCTATTTTCCCCCTTTTTTTCTGCACCCCTCTTCTTTCCTGGACGTCCTGCTCTGCTTTGAGGACAAAATGTCAGAGAAGAAGTACAAGAGAAACGCAGAAAAAGAGATGCTTAGAATATCTGTCGGATCTGCTCCCTTATTTATTTTCTTTCTCCATTCCTCCAACCTTTCATCTCTCTCTATCGACATCCACCCATCGTTCAATGTATATCACTATCCCTCAATCCAGTAAGGCGATAGCTTTGTCAAGTGAAGAGCAGCCCCCCTTTGCTATGCAGCACTGTGCACACACACACAAACACACACACACACACACACGCCCACCCCTGCCGCCTGCCGACATGGTACAGGCTGTGCATTGAGGCAGCTCCAGCTGAGGCAGTAGCAGTGAGTGTGCAGCTTAGCGAGTCTCCACACACACATGCACACCTACACTCACTCACACACGCATATACACGCACACACGCACACACACACTGCACACCGCCGTGGTGGTTAGTCCGCTGCTGCATGTGCCGTCGCAAAAACTCGTTTTAAGGTGGGAGGATTTTCACGTCACGCTGATGGTGGTGATAACCTTGCTGCCATGTGAGTATACCCTGCGCCTGTGTGCATCAACAAACGGCTCATCTCTTTCGCCAGTTTCCTTAGTTGCTTTTGATTCGGTCGGCGTAAATCATCCGCATGGCGGGAGGCTGCGATGTGTGATTATCAATCTGTACACGTTGTTCCATGCATGTCTGTGCTTTGTGGGTGTGAAAGAAAATGGATTCTATTTCAGCCGTGAATCAGTGAGGATGCAGGTGGCCTGTTAGGGAGGAGAGATGAGGAAGATCCACGGCAGAAATATTTCTTCTGCTTAATAGATTTCTGTTTGGAGATGTGTTTTCATATGATTTGTCTGCATCTTTCTCTCTCTCCCTCTCTCAAATGTCAATGTCAAACCATTTTTGGTGTGGGGGGGAGAAATCAAACCCCCTTCCTCTAAATGGAGATGTTTAGTTTCACACCTCCCCACTCAGTCAGGCCATCTGTTGGCTGCATGCACTCTGCAGTCTCTTCTCTGTCACACTCACTGGTCCTGTCATGGCAGCAGGCTGCGCTGCCGCGACCGATCATGTGTGTTTGCTGGCTAGCTGTCTGCACTGCATTAGCTACCTGACAGTGTGGCATGCTGAATTAACAAGGAACATTATCGCCTCTCATACTCTGTCTGCCGCGCTGGGTGGCTGACTCGCTGGATGATTACAGTCACTAGCCAGAAAATTGGTAACTTCACAGTTTTGTTTTTTTTTTCTTCTTTTTTTCGTGCTTTCTTACTAGTGTGATCAACTGACTGATCATCACACCAACTGTCGCACAGGGTCACTGGCTTGCTGTCTGGTTTGCTGACTATTTAGTCAGTTCAGTAGGCGGCCAGCTAATCGGCGTGAAACCAAAGACAAACGTTCAGAGGGAAACTTCAGCACAGTCGCTCAAACAACCCGTCAGCCGTTTGTCGTCCGGTTATTCGTGACTTGATTCAGTCATTTAGTCAGTCAGCCACACTGTTGGAAAGGCTGTCATAGGAAATTGATTGTGCCTGTGTTGGCACTGGGATGATTGTGTGAACATCAGTTCTGCTGGCACTAAAACAGCCGGACAGCTGAGGCAGAGTCCTTCTCTCGTGCTCTCACTGTGTCTCTTTCTGTCCAAAACAAATACAGGCGATGAGATATTAAATAAAAGAAGGAGGCACAAAGGAGAACAAACACTACGATTTATGCACCGGCTGTCTCATTGTCCATTTCAACTTCTGACCTTGAACCCATTTTTTGATATTTAAAGTGTATATTTCAAGACGTTATAAGCAGCATAACTACTCTTTTTCAAACCTAGGGGGAGATAACTACAAATATATAACGCAAAGTCAGCATGTGCAACGGGTCTCTCTCTTCTATCTGAATGTTTAGACACAAAAATGTACATTCTACATAGCAGAGAACAACAGATGTGTACAAGAAGATTCCAGAGAAAATCCATACCTTGCTGCGCTCTGTCTGATCTCCTTTAGTTAAGAAGAGAGAATCTGTCAGCGTCGCAGTGGGTTCGGTTTTGCTTTGTCATCATCACCTCTGTGTAGCATAGTGACAAGCACAACGCAGACTTAATACTTTCTTAATAGGTTACTTGATCCAAGTGTGGGTACAGTAAGTATAATTCATTATTTCCTATTAGTAATAACAAATGGAATGAAATGGTTGATTTTTTTAAGCTTGCGTACGAGTGGAGGAAGGAAAGTAGAGGATGAAAGAGAAGGTGAGGAGGGTGAGAGAATGGAGTGTAGGACACAACTGATGCCCGACAAGCTCAGCCTAAATTCAGTTTGCATTCCCGATTCATGAAAAACTATCGTTCGATAATATTGTATTGTATTGACTCTATCTGACCCTCCTTCAGAGACATTTTGAAGCTCTGAATAAACTCGCGTGGATGTCTCTGCAGCATCCCAGCTGAAGTGTTCATGTTTCCAGTTCATCGTCTCAGACCAGTTTGGGTGGTTTTCTTCTTAGTGGAGGTGCCAACATCTGTGTAACTTTGATGCGCATTTTTCATTTGCTACCTATTTTGGTTGAAAATGAAATTGCTTATGAGATTGAAGCGGTGCAAATGTAACCACTATATCTTTTTTTTGATAAAACCACTGGGTGAACCTGAATAAGGAATTCAAACCCTACCATTAGTGGATATTTAAAAAGATATATTTTTACAAGTTGCATTAGCAAAGCTGGAGATCCAATAGCTGTGGTGATGGTGTAGTGTAGTGACACGTTAGAGCCACATTTGTGCTGCCATGATAAAACAGGTGTGGTACACTCTGCCCATCTTTTTGCCCATTTTAAACTAAATGTGATCCTGTGAAATGGCAGTTCAAAACCTCACGTTCCTGATTCACGTTTGCACTCTTTATTTCTGAGAATTCAGTGGTAGAGATTTTTGCACTCTGAATGTTATTGGCAAACGCACGTCTATCTAGTATTTATGTGATGTGCACAAAGGCTTCAAAGAACTATCCTTATTCATTCACTCTTCTTAATGTATCTCTCCCATCCTCCTTATTCTGTCTTTGGTCCCCTTCTAGCACACTTAGCCTTAATGTGCTGAATTTAATTAGACCAATAACTCCCTCATGATTTCTACGGGCTCATCTGGAGCAAGGAGAGAGCAACAGCAGGGTTTTTTTCTACTTTCCAGTGACCTTGCAGCAGGACATTAATATTTGTTGTGTGTGTGTGTGTGTGTGCATGGGAATATGCATGTGCTTTGTATGTTTCTATCTTGCTTATACATAAATGTAAATGCATGAATGTATTACTTGCTAAAATGCTTGATTTAATATTTAATATTTATCTGTCTCGGAACAAGACAGTCCTAAAGGACAGCATGTCCTGCTGTCTTACACAGTTCAGAATGCCTCACTGATGATTTTGATGATACTTAACTAGCACATGCAAACTTTATGCACACGTTATGTGTTGAATCGTCTGGAAAAAAAACGTACAGTTGGTGCGAATTCAAGAGAAAATGGGATAAGTGCCAACAATAAATCTTTTGTAAGCCCTCCCTTTGTTCTATGAGTTCATAAAACAGAATTCAGTTTGAGAGACTTGTACTGCGCATATACTGCGGCCAATATTACACAGTTTAAGTTCCTTCTCATCTCCCTGTAGACCGCTGAATTAAAAGTTAGAATAATATTCTTTTGCATTAAGTACAAAACTATTTCCGTTTGAAGTCTATCTTTCTGGGCCGTATGCCTGATGGCCGATTTTTCAGTTAAACCTGAAACCCCAGTCAGTCGGTCCCTTTCTTCATGTGCCTAACCGAAGGTGTAGCAGTGGCGCATGCACCTTCAGTGCCAGGTTTGTTTGCTAGATGTTTAGAGGTTAGTCCTGCATGCTCGGTGGCACCAGCAGACATCACTCACACACACGTGAAAATTCAGCCAGTGCAGGATCCTAACTCCAAATGTCCCCCTGTAGGTCGGCAATGAGGCAAAGCAAAATATGCAGAAAGATGTAACCCCTCCTTGTGTTGTAGCTGCACCACGAAAGTTTTGTTTTGAAAGATTTTAGATGTGATGAAGTGGTTAGAATTCAAGTGGTGTGTAACCACCGTCTGCAGCTCTTCATCACTTCTGCCCTCCACGTCAAACTTCTTCCAAGTGGTGTTTGTTCATGTTAAACAGCTGAAACAATTTGTCAGTGGGAATTTTTCAAGTGTGTTATCCAGTTTTTCCACTCATTTGTATTTGGGCGATACGCAAATACTAATTATGCACCAAGTGGACCCTATTCCAATACTCTATTCTAATGGTGGAGGGGACAAAGCGATGGAATGTCTTTTTGTTTACTTCATATGTCATTAGACAACGCATGCTAATTTTGTTGCACAGGGGGGAGTTTTGTGTTGTGCCTTTTTTTCTTTGGACATGCCGAGAAGTAACAGGCTGTCATGCAAAATATGGAACAGATGAGTGGTCTGAGGTCAGGATCCTGACCCCCTGGGACCTACAAATAGAAGAAGATGGGGGTCGAGCTCTTTTTGTTTTTATGGAGATTACAATAAATAATCCTAACATCAGTCATTAATAAATGGGGCCTGAAAACACGTTGTTTTGAAAGCGAAATGTGTGTATTCTCATGCGAGGCTGTGCAGGTTATTTTTCTGCGCGGGTGAGATCATTACTGAACTCCCCTCTTCTTTCGTCAAAATGTACTGTTGATAACACATTTACCAGCTGCACAAGACACCATGTGCAGTGTGAACTTGACATGAACCACTTTCAATGTAAACCCCCCCCCAAAAAAAGTCCAAGCCTCAGTGGCCTGATGTGAGTATTCATGGCCTTAAGTATATCATGACCTCTGTGATATGGATTTAACCCAACACTGGAATTTAGAAGTTAAATCCACAGTCTCTGCCTCATTACACCAAAGCATTCAGCAACTAATTGGATGATGACTCAGTATGTTTTGCGGGAACTTTAGAGGTTAGAAACCGTCTGAAGTAAGTGTCACTCTGGGCGCCATGTGGACGGCACCATGTGTCATAGTATGGGTGTGTATTAGGAAAATCCCCCTGAGCATGTGTCTCATCCTCTTGTTTGTTGTATCATTCCATGATGTGATGAATCTAGTGGTGAAACAGACTCATCATAGGTCAGGTCAAATGAGGTTACCATACAGAAGCTACAAGTGGGAGAATGTAACATGGAAGGCGTGTTTAAGGGCAGAAGTAAAAAAACGTCTACCAGGCCCTGTATTTACACATTTTTTTCTGGCAATTTAGCATTTTGATATTATAATATATATACGACAAGCATTTGTGATTTAACCTGTAATGTAACTAGGCGATAATTCAGTATGATCCGTTATCGTCTTTCAATTTATTGAGATGTTGTGATACGTAATTATTAGTAATAATTAGTCTAAATTGTAACGCAGAACAGCCGATGTGTGTTATTTTGAGGGGATTTCCTTTGATGATTACGCTGTGGATTTAAATAACACATTACGTTATGACAACACGTCATACGTGTAAAGTTG